CAGATGCCAACCAGAACACTTGGGGCAGCTCCAGCAAAAGGGTACAGACAGCCCCCTCAGCAGGGGAGAGCCAGCCAAGGGAGAGCCCAGAAGTCCTGCCGTGGCTCTATATCTCTCCCATATTAGATAACAAGTATAAACGTCTATCTCAGACTCTGACACAGGGTCAGTCTGTGGCGAGTGATGGATGAGCTCTTGTGGCAGCCTAGGAGAAGGATCCTGTGCGAGTCAGGGAAGCACAGGAGAGTAGGGAGTCGGGTATGCCAGACACCCAAATCCCATGTCAACAGGCTCCAGCCCCAGTGACCCTGACAACACACTGATCCTCTGGGAACCCCCAGTTCCCTCTACCGAGGTGCAAGAGCAGACGAAATACAAATAAATTCTCCTTGGGGACTGCATGGCTAGAATGTTTCATATCGCCAGGCTTCTGACACCTCCGCTGTGTGACTTTCAGTTACCAGCAGCACAAATGTTTGTGCTGCAGCCGTAAGGCCGCTCACCTGCAGCATTATCCATCCATTCATTCATTCACTCCATCCATTCATTCATTCACTCATCCATCCATCCATTCACTAGTTCACTTGTTAACCATTCATCAGGGAGCAGTCATTCTAAATACTCTCCATACAATTAAAAAAAAAAAATAACGTGTCCCTATACCCGGGGAAATGGCCCAGTGGGTGAGATCACTTGCACAAATGAGGACCTAGCATCAAATCCCCAGTATGTATGTAAAGAGCTAAGGGCAGTGTGCTAGGGAGGCAGAGACAAGGGGCTTGCTGGCCAGCCAGTCAGCCTGGCTGAAAACAATAAGTTCTGGCCAGATTCAGTGAGAAGTTGTGTCTCAAACAAATGATTGATAGAGGAAGCCATCTGACATCTTCCTCCCATTTCTCTCTTCTCTCTCTCTCCCTCTCTCTCTCTCTCTCTCATTCATACACACGCACACACACACAACTTCACATTGAACTACCACTTCACTGAGATGGAGACAGACAACAAACACATCTATAGAACTATAGCATCCCAAAGAGGACCGTGGTAGGTGATATAAAGCAGTTATAAAGGCCCCTGGGACTCGGATTTTACCCGTGGTGCGGCAAATTGAAGCTGGGGCCTTGCAGATGCTAGCATGCTGTCACCGAGCTACATCCCTCGCCCTCTTATGAGTTGTTTAAATTCTGGGACAGGATCTCACTCAGTAACCCGGGCCAGCCTTGAACTCGGGCAGGCTTTCGTTTCTTTTTAAATAAGATAGAGCCTCGTGCTGTAGCTCATGTAGCTTGAAACGCTCTATATAACCCAGGCTGGCACCAAACTTGTAGCAATTCTCTTGGCTGAGCCTCCCGGGTAGAGCTGGTTACAGGCATATGCCACCAAGCCCGAGGAGGTTGGACTATGGCCATTACTTTTGACACTAGAGAGATGACTCTGTGGTTGAGAGCTCTTGTGGAGGAGCCGGGTTCAGTTCCTAGCCCCTATATGGTTGTCCACAAGCAGCTGTAACTCCAATTACTAGGAATCAGACACCCTCTTCTGACCTCCTCGGGCACGCATACGGGGCACAGACATACATGGAGACAGAACACTCGTACACATAAAATTAAATAATAATAACCATCTACTTTCCCACAACAGTGGCCATAGTTAAGGGGCCAGCAGGAACTGTGGGGACAGTAACCCCACATCTCCAGGCCAGGAGCCTTCTGGAAGCAGTCTGTGTCCTGACAGATGCTCTCACCTACAGACCTCCCTCTTAAGCCAGCCTATCTAAGTGCCTGCCACAACGTCACTGAAAGCTATGCAGACCACAAGACTTGCCATGTTCTATGACACGCAGTGAGTTATTTCATAGCGGCCCACGATGAGATCTGAAAATGGATAGAGGACAAACCATGTGATTTGAGGCTAGGAAACCAGAAAGTTTCATTGGATCTAAAGCCCCCATATAACATGGGCCATTGACGCGTCATTTTTCTCAGTTAGACTCCAAGTTCTAAGGAAGATAATGCTATATAGAAGGCTGGCAAGTTAGCTCTTGGATCAGGAGCCTTAAAAACACCTCATTTAGCACCCTGCCGATCCCAGGAGACCCCAGAACAGCCCTGTGGCTTTCAGTATCCAGGATCCTGAAGCTGTTGCTACCATCTCACTGGCCATCACTGGCCTTGAATCACCACCCCTGTGAACTTTATCCTTTTCCATTGAGTCAGGAGAGGCTGAGGGACGGTGGGAGGTGCCTTGGCAATCCCACCCACCCCGAGAAGGCATTCACTTGCTTTGTATGTACCCTGGGTCTCTTCCCATCACTGGGGTTTGCTTTCTTAGCTGGGAAATAAAGAGGGAGACTGAGCCCCAAGAGCCTCTTCCAGACATAGTTTCTTCAAGGACGGGAAGGGGCTGTACTGAGCTGAGACCAACTACAGAAATTTTTGTGCTAGGGTCATCTTCAGACATGGGTAGCTGACCTGCCAGGGATGAGACATCATGTGGACAACGGTGTGATGGGTTCAGGTTTTTCAAGGCAGGGAAAGGCCTATGTGCTGTTTCTAACAGCGTGCCAGGGACCTGGCAGGACCTTCATAACTTTCCATTGCAGAGCTGGGAGAGCTCCTGCAGGCGCTCACTGAGAGCCCACCCAGGTCTCTCCCATGGAGACCAGGAGGTCCACCAGCCCCAGCCACCTCCCCTCCAGCCACAGCCTGGAGATACAGCGAAGGAAGAAAAATCAACATTTTTGCCCAGCAAGTCCCTAACCAAAGACTAAGCCAGCTCCCAGGCCCATTGCAGCCCCGTTTTAAGGTAAAAGGACTCTAGTTCAGAGGTGGCTGGGACCTAGTGGTGGGAGAAAAAGGAGGACTGGATCCTGCCTTCTGGGCCCCTCCCCAACCCCACCCTATGCCACTAAAAATGTAGCATTTGCAGAGTGGGAAAACAGAACCAGATGTGACAAATCTTACACATGTGGCCACTTCCGCACCAGACCTTGACTCTGAGAGACACTGAAGACAGACAGGGAGCACTGTGTAGCCGACTCCCTTAGAAGCCCAGGACAGGGCCTTGAGGACCAGGACCCGGGGAGACAGGCTCAGCTGATAGTCTGGATTCTGGGTAGACCCAGTGAGGAGATAGCCCTGACCAAGAAGCAGAGACCCCATTCTGAATCCTGGAGCCCCTCCAGTACCCACAAAAAATTGGCCTCTACCGGAACCCCATGTTCTTCCAGACACAGAGCATCAGTAGCCATGATGAGCAACCCTTTGGGTCACTTGATGTCACCTGGACACAGTCCCAATCTTGATCCTTGGGCCTGAAAGTGTCCCAGCCTATCAGCTCCTGAGGGAACCCTTCCCAGGAGGTAAACTGGGCCTTCTACAACCCTTGTTTGCTACCTAAACACTCTCAGGCCTTCCTGAGTCCGTCCTTCACGTTGCCGTCAAGAGCCCACACATGCATCCCTATTGATGATGTTTGGGCAGTTCTAAGGCAATGGCACCTCCTCCCCTAAGCCTGTCTAAGCAGGGGCTCCACCCTCATTTGACCTGTGACCTGCACCCGAAGCAGTGACCCTCATCGCCCACTCTACCATCCAGCCCAGTGAGCACCTAGGCTAGACCATATCGTGCACTGCAGTTAATTCCTGCCTATCACCAGGGATGAACACAGCTAATAAATAAAGGCAATAAAAATTTTAAGTGTAAATTCTAGAGACGGGAAACAACTTATCCAAGGTGACATAGCTAAGGGGGGGGGGTATTTACACAGAGGCCACGGCAATCAGCAACACCATCCTAGGCACGTTCAGCTCCAGGCCCACCCATCCACCAGCCCTGGCCACCAAGCACAAGCGTCGTCAAGTGCACTGCACCCTGTGGCCCTGTAAGGTACACCTCCACAAGTAGTCAGAGTCCCATGGCCCTGGTCCCTGCAGCATCTAGCAGTCAGCCACTTGTCAGCAGATCAGTGAACTGGTTCAACAACAAGGACAGTTCCTGAGGAGGTCTGAATAGTTCTGCTCACCCCCTTCATACCTTAGCTCGGGCCCAAGATACACAGACAACGAAGCATCTCCCCATGCCTCGACCCAGGTGTGCATGCAGACAGACTCAGGGGAAGAAGCACAGAAAGGATAGCTCATCCAGATCTGCATAGGTTTTTGAGTACAGCCACCAGCACACCCGACAACAGTGGTTCTCAACCTTCCTACCGCTGGGACCCTTTAATATAGTTCTGAACATTGTGGTGGTCCCCCAATCATAAAATTATCTTCATCACGACTTCTTAACTGTGATTTTGCTACTGTTATGAATCATAATGTAAATATCTGATATGCAGATAGCCTTAGGTGAGCCCTGTAAAAGGGCCATTTTATCCCCCCCGAAATGTGTCATGACCCACAGGTTGAGAACCACTGACCTAGGCTATGACTTCCTCAGCCCTGTTTCAGTCTGGGCCCGGAGGTCCCAGCAAGTAGCTTATTGGTGGTTTCCTGTTGAATAAAAGCATTAAAAGGTACTATCCCACTACAGCTACCTCACACCTGGCAGAGCATGGCAGCCAGCAAGGGCATGGTGGTGGCACTGTGTACCATGTCCTTGGGAATGGGTAGGGGGTGAGGGCTGTGAAAGGAACTCGATGCTCAGAAGGAGGGAAAGTTTTGTCCCTTACCAATCCATCACAGTTGCTGATGGCAACGGCTGCCCCGGGCATTCCAGTGACACCTCCAGTGTACACACATTCCTGCTGTAGGGGTTGTCGGAAGAGCTCCCGGAAGTCCTCGTGCCATTCCACAGGGGCGCCCGGTGCCACCAACCTCCGGTTGGGCTGCAGGCGCAAGTGAAGCAGCTTCCCAAAGACAGTCACGTTGAAGTAGAGGAAGTGGTGCCTTGGACCACCAGGCCTCAGAGTCTCTCTTTCCAGTCTCGGGGGGCTGCGAGCCACCCGGAGGTGGCTATGCGAAGTGGCTGCTGTGGGGGCTGAAACCACATGGGACAAGAAGCGTCCCCGAAAATCCGTGCTACAGGGCACAGTCACGACGTAGTCACGGAGTTTCCCAGAGTGGTGCGGGTCTGTCGGAGGTAAACACAGAGTCACTTCATGGTACGCTGTACAAAGGTAAGAGAAATCTGGGAATTCCCTTTGGGGAGGGGGAGATAGACAGGCAGTGGTGAGCATCACCTATCACAGAGCCCTTAGCCCAAGTTCATTCATTTTTCTCTCCATTACTTCCTGAGCCTGTACAGTCACCCATTCAGGTAGACATAAATTTGTGAACGTACATTATTTCTGTAGCTGTCCGGTCTTTTTTTTTTTTTTATATTTAGCAGAACTAAACAAATGATGTCAAACAGAGTCCCATCACCATAGCAACAAGCCTTCCAACTTTGAGCACTGCTTAGAAAGGGCTGAAATTCCAGACCTGCCTCAACTCCCCCAGTGTACTGAAGTCACCAGCCTGGGGTAGAGACCTTGCCACGCTCCCAAGAATGCCGCTGCCAAAACAAACACACCTAGAAACCCAGGGGATCGGGGCCCTTGACACAGATAAAGGAAGGGCTGGAGAAGGCGCCGTTATATATTTTCCCGAGGTTAGAAAGGAAACTTTTTTAAAAGCAGCGAAGTGGCTGTGAGACATCTGCACTGCCCAGCCCCAAGCAGGATAAATATAGAGCTTCAAAAATAAGAGACACGGGGGGTGACCTGCCCACTTGGGCTGACTGAAGTGTGAGGTCATGGCCCTGCGCTGTCGGCCATTTGCCAGTCAGTGGGCCCCATCCTCATGCAGTCCTCTCTCTGTGTGCACAGCCAGGCAGGAATGACAGCTCACTGGCTCCCAGGCCTGGTGATTCATGGACACAAGTTGGAAGGAATTTCCACTTCTCCATAGTCCTATCTCTCGCCACTCCAGCTAACAGCACTGATAAAACACACAGAGAAGGATGCTCCTTTAAGATTTCCCGGGGGGCCATTGTAAATGGGGGGGTGTCCCTTTATCTTTTCGCTGTGACAGGCAAAGGAACCCAAGACTGTGTAAAAGGGGTCCCACTTGCGCACATGAACCTTCCCTAGAAATGACAGAGCCTTTCTGTATGCCCCCAAAGCACCCAAAGGGTACCCATGCTGTAAGATGTATGTGGTATGTCTCTGGTCTATGCCTGGGAGACAACCTATAGTATCTGAGGATGCTATGTCGTGGGCTTGGAGGGGAATAGGGGAAGAGCCTTTTTTTTCTGATCAGAAGCAACGGTGCCCACAGTTTTCTGCTGTGGGAAGCAATCACCTGCTAGCCTGATTCCGTGTGGGACAACCAGACATGCACACTCAGACACGCACGTGCACACAGTTCCACAAGTGCTACCCAAGTTGGAGACAAGGCATTAAAGATCAAGAGACGTGGGGGAAGAGAGGGGGAGGGGTAGCTCACTGTGACTTTTTCTCAGGGGCAGAGACGCGTGTTCCCAAACCCCTCCTGCAGGTCACTTCGCCAGTGACAGAATGGGGCAGAAATGGCTAAAAGCAGCCAAAACCAAGCAACTCGGTCTGAACCTGGTGCACACCACCTTCCACCCGCCTCGAACCCTGCTAGGCTGGCTCCTGCATCCTGGGGCCACTCGGACCCCTAGTACCCCAGAGACCCCCACGTCCCCGCGCTACCCGCACGCACGCACGCACCTGGGGTCTGACTGCCCGCGGCCGCGCAGAGCGTGCAGTACCAGGGCAGCAGGCAGGGCAGCAGCGCGCAGAGCCGAGCCATGTGGCCGCGCGAGGACGGGAACGGGCAGGCGCCCGAGTGCCCGGTCTGCCAGATCGCAGAGCAGCCGGCTGCCTCCGCCTCCTGCCGGCCAGCTCCCGGCCCCCACGGCAGGGCGCCCGCACTGGTAGCTCCAGCTGCAGCCGCTCTGTCCGCCCGTGCTGTCCCGAGCCGCCCGGACTCGGCGAGACCGGCTAGGGGCGCGGGGCGGGTACACGGGCAGGGCGGGCCGCGCGGCTCGGGCGGGGGGCGCGGGCGCTGGGGGCGGGGGCGGGCCTGGCGAGCCACGGCGTGCGGCCCGAATCGGAAGTGCCACGCGGAGCCCGCGCGCGGGGGCTCCTGGCGCACGGGGCGATCGTCCCTTCAGACGCCAGAGCTTTCCGGAGCCACGGCCTGAACAGCTTCCCAGGACTACTCCGCCCCCTTTGCCGGCTCTGTGACTACTTAGGGGTGTCCCACAGCATTTTGATGATGAGGATGGGGAGTTCCCCCCACCTCCCGAGTTGCCCTACTAGTTCCTGACCCCTTGGACATTCCCACTTTGCAGATGACAACACCATGAACCCTAGGGTACTTCTGCTGTCCTGTGTTCTAATCAAAAGCAGGGCGCAGGAAGGTGAAGAGAGGGGCCCTGTACGGTCACTCAGCCCAACTGCCCAGATGGAAATCCCAACTCTACGCCTGTTTCCTCATCTGTGGCATAGCTGTTAACCACAGACACAAAAGACACACAATAAACGAAGAACGCCCAGTATGTCCACCCCGCACTCTATAGCCTGAAGTGCGAAGAACAGGCACAGCAGATGCTGGCTTGACGACCTGTCGAGACCAGTTCCACAGTCAGGGCCCACAGCCCATCAGAAAAACCCACGTTCTTGTTCCACTTTACAAGTATGTTCTTAATGATTTGAAATTAGGCTATACTTCAAAGTACTCATAGGTGGAGACTTTGAGGAAGGAGGATATGGTTGGCTTCGCTATTTTTATTGTTTTCTTGTTTGTGTTTAACTGTGCCTACGGCTTTGAAATGACGCTGAGGGGAGGCCAGCTCATTTCTGAAGTCAGCTCAGAGAGCACATGCCCCTTATATTCCAAATGACATCGAAGCACTCAGTTATAAATGGCATCAACCACCAGTGAGGTCAAGTCAGGGCAGAGGGGGCTAAGTGTGAAGTTGATGTGGGCAGGAAGTGGGCCAGGGTCGAAGGAGGGTCAAGGAGATGAGCAGGCTATGGGCTGCAAAGGTTCAGCTTCAGAACGCAGCAAACCTACTAAATGATTCTAAGATAACGACTTGCGTGCCTGGGGCCTCAGTCTTCCAGGCAGTGAAGTGGGAACAGATGTGGCAAAGTGATAGAAGGATAGCTCCCTTGCTCCCTAAGGGAAAGGCCATCCCAGAGAAGATTACTCTAGAAAGCTCAAGCATCCTGGCCCCACTCCTTCTTCTCCTCCTTCTCCTCCTTCCTGCCCCAAGCAGAGCAAGTTAAGAGGCACAGACTGCAGCTGCAGCCCCAGAGGCTGAGTCATGAGCTGTGGGCTGGGGCCTTCCCTGGAGCCAGCCTTGGCAAAGGGAAATCAAAACCTCATCCTATTTCTCTGCCCCCACCCCCTTTCCCTAAGGCTACAATGGTTGCTTGTGTTGGCCAAGGATTATGTGTCCAGGCCCTTTTCCACTGAGAAAGGCTTTGTTAGGGAGAGGGCGATGGGGACAAAAGGTGAGGAAGTGGCTGGGTAGCCCTGCCTCTGGACGTGAACAGGGCCTTGTGAAGAAACCCACCCTTGTAGCCCGGAGGAGTCTCCAAGGAAGGCAAGTTCTGGGTTTCCCAAGCTGATGCCTTGGGAGAGTGGCTTGGAGGGGCGGGTAGGTGGCACTCCATGGGCAATGGCCTTCCCACACTTATCCAATGTTCAGTGCAAGGTTCCAGGGAGGAAGATGCTAGGTGTCGTCTGTCACCAGGGGCCAGTCAGAAGAGATGGCTCATGTTCCAATAAACTTTGCGCCAGGTGAGAGAAGGCTGGAGAAACGCCAGTGGCTAGAGGAGCAGGGTGGCTAGTAAGGACAAGGGATGTCTGGGAGGAGAAGGAGCCTGGGGAAGACAGAGAAGCCAGATGAGTGAAGGATGTGTCCCGGCTGGGAGGGGGCCATGCACAGAGAAAGTAAACCAGCCTGCCTGAGTGAATATCCCACACAGAGGAAAGGCAGCATTAGCTAGATGCTATGATCCAGTTACCCAGAAGGAAAGAGGAAGCGGGCGTGTGAATTGAGAGGTTACATTGTAGCAAGTGTGCATTGAGAGGTTACATTGTAGCAGTGTGAGGGAGGAGCCACTGAGCCGGCTGGAGATGTGGCTGGAGATGTGCCCAGCCTGAGCTCCTCGGAACCATCAAAATCCCAGAGGGTAGGGTCTACAAGGGCCAGTCTTCGGCTCAATAGTTCCACTAGACAACTGAGGTCACACAACTGATTCAGCTGGGGGACCAGACCCCTGACCAAGATCCCTGCTGCCTCCGCTGTGGAAAAAGAGCCTCCACACTTCCTTCCCTCCTGCTTGTGGTCCAGGGTGAAGATTAGCTGGCTCAAGGTTCACACACATGTCTTTACCTTGGGGAGTTCCCGATAGCCCCTAAGGGTGTGAGTTTGTGACAAGGGGCAGTGTTGTCACAGAATGTATCCAGCAGGTGGCTGTGGTTTGTTGAGTCTCAGCTGCTATGGCAGACAAGTCTGATTACTAGCCGGAGGAGGTGAAAACCCCAAAACACAGGAAGGGGGCTCTCATCTTAGAATCCTTGATGCAATCAGTGGCTCTGAGATTCTCAAGAGAGGAAGAGAATCCCACCAGAGCTCAGTGCAAATCACCACGTTCACCCAGACAATCAGGACACCAGGCAGCCTGGGGCTCCCAGGTCACTTCTGAGTTCATGGAGCAGACTCGGAAGATCTTCTAAATGCAGCATCCTCTTTCTAAGACGAACTCATACCCACAGCACACAGAACACAGCACGCTTTTCCTGAACAGCACATGCTGTGTTTAGCAGATCTCCTCTGGCCCCTGGAATCTTCTCTAGTTATAGCCAGAAGAGACAGCCCCTCACATCGTGTGGCTCTCTCCGCTTTCAAATCTCTAAAGCCTCCATCAGGCTCAGGATAGAGGCTAGACCCTTTGTTGCCCATCCTCCTGCCTTGCAGGCACTATGCTCACCCGGCCTCAGGACCTTGGCAGGGCTCTTCCTCTCCTCCAAGGGAGCCAGTTCTTGCTGTGTTCTAATGTCATCCTGTGTGATTTCAAGATCAGCATCTGCTTGCTCCCATCTTCCATAGGGAGCAGGGACCTGGGAGAGCTTTTTAAGCTTCAGGATCCTCAAT